TCCACTGCAAACATCCAGGCTTTGCTCCTGTGGCACAACTGAGGTGGCTGACACTGACTCCTCCTGTGAAATCAAGTACCCCAACACTCTCCCTTTGCAAAGGAAAATGGCAATGGGGAACACTAAAGGCACTACACCTCATAAACTGGTTGACTCAAGTAAGCAGCTGCAATTCCATCCAGTGGAGCAAGCTGCAAAGGGGATGAAAATGACCTGACCAGAGCTGATGGTGACCACTTTGTGTATGCCAGAACCCACAGGCTCAGGGAACCCTAGTGACAGTGGTTTGCAACTGTCAGCTGTCTTCAAAAGGAATGATTAAACATATTTTTTATTTTTATTTCTAGTAATAAATATTCCAAAAATTAGTAATAAAAGAAATAAATCAGCAATTTAGGTCAATATTAAAGCATTCACAATCCTCACATCTAGACCAATAGCTGTTTATCTTGGGAAAGTAAGTTACAAGTAGTAACCAAACTGGACAGATATGACACCCTTTAAAGCAGGAAAGTGAACAGACATTTTAAATAAAAATGTCATGGTTTATACACAATACCTGTACCCTCTAGACCTCAGATTTACTTGCCATAGCAGTCATTAGTTACCTTCCACTGCCCAGATGTCCCATACACATTCCCTGCAGAGCGTAAAAATGAGATAAATTGAAAGAACTGGACGTCCAAAGGAATTTTCCAGAACACATTTTCTCTGGCTTCTTGTTTGTTAAATATGCTCCTCTTCTCCAGAGACCCAAACAAGAAAAACAACAGCAGATTCACTTTTATTATTCTGGTTGATATCCGAAGTAATGGCCCAAGACAGTCAGCAGAATTATAAAGCAGTAAGTGGCCCACCTCCAAGCACTGGAATTAATCCTAGGATCCTGACAGCTCCTCATTAAGAGGTCCAATGGCCTCCAAAAAGATGACTCAGGCTGTGAGCCAGGAAGCACTGAGTCATGAAGCACATCATCATCATCATCATCAGTGTAAGGACCTGGGCTGCCAGCACAGCCCCTCCTTCATGTGCCCCTGTGCCAGCAGCCACTCTCCCAGCAGCAGGCACCACACAGGATTTCTACTGCAATCAGCAAAGCTCCACCAGCTCCTGTGAGCTTCAGGTGACTCTGCAGCAAGATCCTGCAGATGAGATGGTAACAAAGAGCATTCACCTGTCTTTGCAGCCTGTTCTCCAGAGGGGATGCAAGGCTGCTCCCTGAGGAGAGGCAAACCCAGTGCTGACAGATTCTCACAGAGTTGCCACTCTCTACCTCGATCTTGGATGTCATTCTACTGTCATATTCCAAAGGACCATCACTCAGGGCTGCCCAAAGCCCTCTGATGAGACCATCTCGTTCATACAGATGAACACTATCCCTCACTGGCTGCTAAAAGCTCAGACCAAGGACTGGACAGCTGCAGGATGCTCCAGCTCCCTGGGCAGCCAGGCAGGGAGGGATCTGAGCACGGAGCCATGCTGGGGAACGTGAGCCCATTGAAACAAGAAACGGCATCTCATGTTTCCCCAGCTGCAGCTCCAAACTGAGGAGCTTCCAAAAGTTCAGCTGTATTCTCTAGGGACACAAAGTGTGAGCACTTGAGCCTGTTCTCCTAGCAGTGCTCATGGGCTTTTTTCACAAGGGTTTGCCTCTCCTGCTGAACCTACCTCAGCTATCACTACCTTACTGCTGCATGGAAAAAAGCAAGCCTGAAAGACCATTTTAAAAGAAAAAGCAATAATCTGAGGCTGATGCAAAAATCTATTGCAAGGGACCACCACAGAAGAGAGACCTTGACTCAAGCTCTAGAGCAAGCATACTTCAAATTACCAGCCATCCCATCACAGCAAAAACAATGTTGTCATCTATATCTTGCAAGTAATTGACCACATTTTTGGGGACTGTAATACATCTGAGACGGATGTGCAGGTTTTACCTACCTTCTCTGTTTCTGTTACCATCACCTGGCTGTTATCCTGGCTATTATCCTCCTCACCTACTGCATGAGCAAGAACCATTCAGTCACTAAACATCATCGGGCACTTTGCAAGCATTGCGCCAGCTCGGAGCAGTTCTGACAGTTAAGGAATAACTACAGTGTAAACATGAACTGTACTCTCTCAAAGGCAGGAAGACAGATCTTAAGATGATAAAGCATCTGGGAAAGGAAGAGTGGAGAAAGACAAACAAATCTCTACAAAGAACTTTTTATGCCCTTTCATTCAAGCTATCAATTTCAGGAGCAAAAGTCCACCAGGAAATTAGAGATAAGCAAAGCTCCACTTTTTAAATTTATGTGGCCTTTATTTGGCCACTCACAGAACACCAGCTTCAGGTGGTATATTGGTATATTATATTGGTATACTGGTATATTATTGGTATATTTTAAGAGCACAGCTTGAGAATTTCCTACAAATCCTATAAGGAAAAGATACCTTTTAGCTCTTCCAGAAATAAATTCCTTGTGAAACAGACTAATAATAGAAAGCAGTAACGAAAATAAACTAGTATTAGCCATAGACAGGATAATTACAAGAAGTTGCATTCTTGTCTTCTGTAGTAATAAACCCAGACAAGTTCTCCACTAAAAGCCCATAGATTCAATACCTAGTCCAAGCCAGGACATAAATCCAGTTAGTGTGCTGGACTAGCACCATTCTGTATCATCCACAGGCACCAGAGTTTGCATTTGAGGTATTAAGAAGTGATTCTAAATTATCCGGAAGCCAAGGAACATCAAGAATATGGGCTAGGTACTGATTCAATATTTAAGAAATGCATGCAGCTGCAGCTGTCACATCGAAGCATTTCACTCCTTGTCGTATCTCATGGCAACTCCTGTGGGGCAGGCAGGACTGACTTACAAAGATTCAGAAACACAGCCACTCATGCTGCTACTGGCCACTGTAATCAGGCCTTGTGGCTCCTAAAATGGTTTTAAACACACACTTAATCCCCAGGTTATACATAAACAAAGATGAGCATGCAGCACTCCTGGCACAAATGTACGCAGTAATTAAAAGCCTCCTCCTTCCAGAGGAAGAGCTGTTCTGTCTCTTTACCCCTTTGAGACATCCTCTCTCCTCTCCATCCAGTATGGCATCTTCCCTACCAGGTGTGTCCATCCCCTCCCAGCTCTGCAGCTGGGCCACCCTGGCACACAATCCAGCCCATAACAGATGGAGGGGCCTGAGAGCTGGCCCTGAAGAAAGGGAGGATGTCCTGGAGACATGGAGCTGTGGCAGTCCCATCATCCAGTAAGCCATTCACATCTCCCTCACTGCGTGCAATATGCTCTGTTTTTACAGGTATAACCTAGTGGTTGTCCAAGAACTTACACAGGAGAGCCTGAGAATCCTTAAGACAGTAAAGGCAAAGCAGTGTGGAAGTTACTGCCTTATAGAAATCAGCTGTCCTGATGACAAGGACTTTGAAACACCCAAGTTTCAGGAAGGGATGGATGACCACAGAGCCATGCAAGGCTCCAGCAGGGAGATGCAGGAGCAGCACTTTAACACCTTTCTGCAAACACCTGCAGTTAGTAGCAAGGAAATGCCACTATCCATAGAGAATTCATGGTCAAGGAATTTGCTATGTAAAGGAGACTCCTAAACCTGCTTATTTACAGATACATCAGGGTAACCCCAGGTGACTTAGCAATAAAGCAGGGGATCTCAGCCTTAGCATAAGGGAGGTCCAAATTCACTTTTCACATTTCTTGTCAGACTGCAGAAAACCCTCTGTGTAAAAATAGACTTTTCATTTCCAGTTTCCATAAAATGAACAGAGAGAGCCTGTCTTTATAATTTTAGCACTTCATTGAAACACTCTTCAATCTATTACTCCCATCTCCATTTTAGGGGTGCTCGAACCTAACTTGCATGTTTCAGAAGTGACATAACTGTATGAAAACAAACCCAAGTTTCATGGAGACTCACCCAGAACACATTTAACCTTCACATAAAGGTAATTGTGCCCTTCTTCATGAAACCCAAAACAATTGCTCAAGGTGAACAGCTGCATTCATGGAGCACTAACTTGGATAGGATTTTAATATCAACACTGCTACATGAACTATGTCACTGTTCAAAAGAAAATAGTGCCAATAAATCTTTTAGTGAATTATCTGCATAGTTTACCCAAAATAGAGCTTACTGTAGTTCAGAAGTGAACACACTGTATGACATCTAATTGAGAAAGACTCAAGGACAGCTAAGGAAGAATTTTAGATGCTTGAAATGGGAATCTGAGCACTGGATGTCGAACAGGGAATAGTAAAATAGTATGGAAGGGAAGGAGTGGTAGAGTTGTGACATTCATGGCGAGTCCATGTTTATGTTGCAGGTAGAATTTGGAAGCCCATTATCACACCTGCTTTCCAAAAGGCACCACAAAGCGATCTGCTAATGAATTCAAGTCATTACAGTAAGAGAAAAAGCAGGTCGTCCGACCTGTACACACGGGTTGCATCACACCCTTCCGATACACAGGGAAATTACAGACCTTGCCGCGGAACGCCGCCACCTGCCCGGCCAGCGGGGAGCGCAGGGGGCTGGGGCTGTCTGCATCGGCGCCTGGGCTGCGGCAGCGGGGCTGAGCCGCCCGGAGCCCGGGGCGGGAGGCGGCGGGGCTGAGCCGCCCGGAGCTCGGAGCCCGGGGCGGGCACGGCCGTACGCGGTGCGGCGGGCAAGGGCCGGGCAGGGCAAAGCACAGCGCCGCGGCGTGAGACAGACAGAGCCGCTCCTTCCCGCAACCCGGCGCGACACTGCCGTGCCCCCCAGGCCCTTGTGCAGGCACCTCCCGCTCGCACCGACCGCCCCATCCCGGGCCGACAGCGATGGGGAGCGCCGGGAGCCCAAGGACGCCTCCCCGGCGGGGATGCAGCCGGGCTCGCAGCCCCGACCCTTTTCCCTGCTCCCGGCCCGGGCAGGCGGCGGGATGCGGGGGGACCCTCCCGGGGCGTCCCTGCTGAGTCACAGCCGGGCCCCGCCGCACTCACCTGCGGGCAGCGCAGCGCGCCCGCCCCATTGCAGGCGCCGCGGGCCCGGGGCCCCTCCGCGGGGTCGCCGCTGCAGCCGCCCTCCTCGGCGGCGGGGAAGAGCCCGCAGGAGCGCTGGAAGCGCGCCACGGGCTGGGAGCTGCGCAGGGTGCCCAGCAGGCGGGCCATGCTGCCGCCAGCCTCCCCAGCCTCCGCGCAGCGCGGCCCCAGCGCGCCCCGCCGGCCGCGGGGCCGCGGGCAGGTGCGCCCGCCCCACCCCACCCCGCTCCGCGCTGCCCCGCCCCGCACAGGTGGGATGTCCCGCCCCGCACAGGTGCCCTGTCCCGCCCCGCACAGCTGGGATGTCCCGCCCCGCACAGGTGGCATGTCCTGCCCCGCACAGGTGGGATGTCCCGCCCCGCACAGGTGCCGTGTCCCGCCCCGCACAGCTGGGATGTCCCGCCCCGCACAGGTTCCGTGTCCCGCCCCGCACAGGTGCCCTGTCCCGCCCCGCACAGGTGCACTGCCCCGCCCCGCACAGGTGGAATGTCCCACCCCGCACAGGTGCCCTGTCCCGCCCCGCACAGATGCCCTGTCCCGCCCCGCACAGGTGGGATGTCCCGCCCCGCACAGGTGCACTGTCCCACCCCGCACAGGTGCGCTGCCCCGCCCGGGAGCGCCCCTTGCCGGCCCGGCCCTGCACTTCCCTTCCCCGACACCCAGCCCCGCGGTCCTCCCCTCGGTGAGGACACGACATTCAGCGTGTTCCTTTTTTGGGGGGTTTTTCCTATCGTGATGTTTTTCCTGCTGTCTTAATGTGAAGATAGAGTGCCCTAAATAGCACCAAGGTCTTTGGAAAAAACACTTAGGTGTGGATGCTATGCTACATGGGTTCATCTTCTGTCAATTCATCTCATGGTGTAAAATACACCTTGAGCTGTCCCCAGTTTCATTTTGTCTGGTTTTGGAATCAGCTTTTATTTCTTTTCCCAAACATTTGCATGCCCACATTGTATACATCACATGTACACATAGGCCTACAAGGATACATCTCTAAATACATTCTCCCTTAAATACAGCTATGGAGTTTCTTACAGAAAAAGAGGAGTTATCACTTGGAAGATGCCACTCAAGTTCTGGGGCTGCAAACCTTGCCACAGGTGATCCCTGCTGATTCCTATTTTTGAAACATTTAGCACCTTAGTTCCATCAATGCATTCCTTTTTCTTTTTAGAACAGCCCATTTTTATTCCCAGAAATAAATTTTTGTACAAGGATTGTACAATCTTCATTTGCTCAACATAGACTCATTTAAAGTTTGTTGCTTTTTTTTCATTCTCAAATACCCCAAATTATGCAGGACTGCATCAAGGCTTTTTTTTTCCAGAGCACTTGGAAACAAAGCCACATTCCTTTGCTTTTTTAGCCAGTCCCTGGCCCTGTCCCTGTCTCCTACAGGTTGGGCTGCCTGTAGGAGATGCTCTCCCAGGCCCCATGAGTACCACTGCTCTTGAGATGGCAGAATCATCTCATCACCAGCCTGGGCTGGGGCCAGGCCAGCCCACGGCCATGGGCCACATCTGTGAGAAATCCCAGGCACAGCTCTTCATCACCCCCATCCACAATCAGGGCAGACTCCACAGAGCTCATCTAATTGTGTGATTAATTCTCTTTTATCTTCTCCAAACACAGCCTTCTATCAGTGGGTTTGCCCAAGCTGCAGGTGACACCATGTGTCCCGTGCTTTCCTCGCTGCTGGGTGTGCACAGGGCTCCCCTGCCAGCAGAACCAGCTCACAGGGGCCGAGGAGGGAGCAGCCTGTGCAGGTTACGTGTTTGTACTCTTTTACCTGGGGGAATTATTTCTTGTTTGCCTCTGGGTTTGTTTTAATAGCTGTGAAATTTACTAGGTGCGCTCATAAGCATGTGGGAAATATTTGTCTTCTTTTTCCTGTTCCTAGATATGTGAAAAATGTACAAAAAATTTATGGCATGTTAATTTGAAGAGAAAAATTACAGGCCTGCTGGTGCAGCTGGAAGCCTTGCCACTGATGCCAGTGGGACAGGATCTCATCCAGGGGCACAGTGGAAAGCAGGAAGGCAGGAATGAAAGTGCATGGCTGGGGCCAGCACTCGGTGGGTATTTTAAAATATCTCTTTGTCAACCACAAGTCAATATTTATCGGATCTGCCTACATAGTTATGTCATTATAATACTTACCAGGTATTAAAATAGAGCTCGGCATTCACAGGCAGCTTCTCCCCATTTCTTCTACAGGTGCACATGTAGGTTAGTGGGAATGTGTCTCAGTGAGGATGTCAGCATCCAGCTGATGAGAATTCAGGTTTTACTAACCAAACTCACTCTAAACTTAATAGAGAGAAAAACTAAGGGACAAATTTATACTTATTGTTAATTTTAATATGCCTTGTCTATGTCTTGAAATCAACATGAGTAATTACAAGTACTACATGAGCTGGTAATGGAAGTTTGTGACTCTTTTTTTTTTTTGCTGTGGAAAGTCAAGGGATTTGTAGGAGTTATGTTCCTAATACAGACTGATTTCTGGAGTGAAGGAAACTTTTAATGTCCCGTTTCATAGAATTATAGAATATCCTGACTTGGAAGGGACTCAGAGAGATCATCAAAGTCCAACTCCTGGCCCAGCACAGGACAGCCCCGAGAGTCTCACCACGTGCCTGAGAGCAATGTCCAAAGGCTCCCTGAGCTCTGTCAGGCTGGTGCTGTGACCACTGCCCTGGGGAGCCTGGTCAGTGCCCAGCCACCCTCTGGCTGAAAATTGTTTTCCCAGTATCTTACCTAATCCTCCCTTGACTCAGCCCCATGCTGCTCTTCAGGTCCTGTCACTGATCTGCCCCTGGCAGAGGGCAGAGATCAGTGCCTGCCCCTCCACTTCCCCTGGTGAGGAAGCTGCAGAGTGGGATGAGGACTCCCCTCAGTCCCCTCCTCTTCTCCAGGCTGAATAAGCCAAGTGACCTCAGCTCTTCTCATCAAGGCTTCCCTGCTAGACCATTCACCATCTTCATAGGTTTAGGACACAAAGGAAACTCATTAGTGGCTTTTGTACATTTTCTTAGAAAGACAATGATAAATCTAATCAAACTGCCTCTAACACCTCCCCTCACGCAATTTTTTAACCAAATAGCAAATATAAACCACATTTATCACAGGAGCAGAGCTTTCCCCAGACTTGTGTTCCTGAGGTTTTAGGGGAAAATGACAGTGCAGCAGAGACACAGCTTGAGCTGCCTGATGACCCCAGTCAGGATACACTTATTTTCAGGCAATGCCACCTCTTGTCTATCCAGTGCTGAACAGACAGGACACATCAGCTTGGCTGGGGGGGACCAGGAAGAGGGAAATAGAGATGCTTCCAGCATGGAACAGAGGGTCATAGGAAGGACCACAGCACAGGAGTGGGAGGTGTTTGGGCCATGGAGAGGATGGAGGTTTGAGGAGAGAAGCAAGGGCAGAAAACTGAAAACATCTAGTGATGTGAAAACGTAGAAATCTATAGGAACCTTATTTGACAATTTCTACTGCTCACAGAACTTGTTTACTGTTGCTCAAAGCAAGAGTATGACTTCTATTCCCTTTATGAAACAATGTTCTAATGGCCTTTTCCTGAGACTTACCTCCCATTACTCCTGATGGGCAAAAAAATTACTCAGGATTTGGCTCCTTGAAAGATGTGCTGTAGAAAGAATTCCACAAATTTAACAATTAAAAGAATTCAAGGACTGTCCCACACTTTGCATGGCCCATACAGATTCCCAGAGCTTTAGAAAGGCAACTTTCTATAAAACCAGTGGAATCAATGTCACTGAAAAAGACTAGATGAGTAGGATTCTGAGAGTGTTTAAAATAAGTTATTTATAGTCTATCCAGTAGCAAAAAAAAAAAAAAAAAAAAAAAAAAAAGCTTTTAGAGCTTTATCTAGTGAAATTGTCTCATCCATAGCCAAAATAGCTCACTAATAGCTGGTTAGTATTTAGCTACATTTTCACAAGGGAAGAAAATCACCCCTGGGCTGAGGAAAAGCATGAAAGATGAGAATACAAAAGATAACTTTTGAGAAAGCTGAGAATAGTGCCTTCTGCTGAAGGCATTTCCTTAACAACAACGGGTGTCATTGTCATGATGGTGGATATGGTGGATAATTTTGCCTTCAGCATCAACAAAGTTAAGAGTGAAGTACAAATTCCAGGGCTGGGGGTGGATGATGATGCTAGGAGAGCACAGCTCAGTTTTCAGATGTCTGCCTGAGTTTGCAATCCTGACAGCCAGATAAGCCAGATAAGCCTTGTTTTCCTTCAGGCTGAGGGAATGAGTCTGGAGGAGCAAAACATGAGCACAAGTTTTCCTGTCACTCTACAGACAGCAAGCACATCTCACTGTGGAACATCACACTCGGAGTTTCCTCGGCTGAGATCCCTCTGAGGAGGCTGTGGCTTATGGGTTACAAACACGAGTGTCAGAACTGTGGTTTTCCAAGGAAAAAAGCACTGAAGTGACAGGAACATGAACAAAGTGAAGTCCCTGCTGAAACTGTAGGTAGGGAGCCGCTGCCTGATGAGATGTGTCTGTACCAGGAGAGGCCTTGGCAGTGTCTCTGTACCTGGAGGGGTGCTGAAGATTTGGCAGGGCAGAGCTACAAACATCAGCACACTCTGCCTGGGACCACTGAACTTGGCAGTGAGATGTGGGCTGTGCCACAGGGAGGGTGGCACTCAGAAATCCTGGACACAGAGATCCTTTGGCCATGAGGTGAAGACAGAAATCCCACCAACTCATCAAGTACCACAGCACTGTACTTAAACAGGTTTGAACAAATTTTCCCTTCGGCTCCATCCCACATGTTTTCATTTCCTCAGTCATTTTCTCAACATACTTAGAGCCCAACTCTTAATTTCATCTTCCTTCACCATTTTTTGGCAATTTGCATTTTTTACTCTTTATACTGAGAAAGAAACCATTAAAATGTGTATGCTTTAATACTACAAGTTACAAGTGCTCTTTTTATAAGACTTTTGCTTTTTCATTATATTTAGTTGACAAGCTACTGAACACATTATTTTGGATCTGAGACTTTCAGTACTGAATGTCAGACCCAACCACCCACTAACCTTGCAGGCAAAAAAATGGAGCTTTCTCAGATTAGCTAGAAGAACTGAAGATTTTTAAATATGGTGAAGG